AGGGTCATGTGATCTTCCCAGCTGTCTTCCAACAACCAAAGAGACACCAGATTCAAAGAGACACCAAATTCATATGATTTGCTGAAGAACCATGGTAGCAAAGGTCATATGATTTGCTGAAGAACCATGGTATCAAAGGTCATGTGATTTGCTGAAGAACCATGGTAGCAAAGGTCATATGATTTGCTGAAAAACCATGGTATCAAAGGTCACTTAGCAATAACCTTGCTTAGCAATGGAAATTCTGGCCCAGTTATGGTTGGTGCAAGTCAAGGAGTACTTGTATTACTATACACTCATAGAATAAAAAAGTGATGTTATATGCAAGAATCTAAATAACCGTCCATAATTCTGTAGCTCTCCAAAAAGAATAAAAAGCAAGATTTATGAATAGTCTCTTAATTGGGCAATCAAGCATAACTAAATTGTATAATTGATAAGTAGATTGACCTTCTGGATAAAAGAAAAATGTTCTCAGTTTAATAGACTTATATGGTGTCCAAAAACGAGATAAAAATAAACCCCACCATTAGGGTAAGTTCAGTAGCTTCAGCCACTAATGTGTTGGTGAGGGGGAACGGGTGTCAGTCTGTTTTGGAAAGGATGACAATTTTTTTTAAGGAGACTGGTTGTCTGTTTCCAGGTTCGAAAAGCACCATTTTGTAAGTCATCTTCATGCAGAGGGCCACGACAACCATTTCATGGTGGTTCCTGTACCAGTTTCCCAGATTTCTAAATGTATCCACAGTCCCCACATGCTGGAAACCCTTGTTCTATATATAGAATTGCAAAGTTTCTACTAATCCTTGTAGGATTGTTATTTTTATTATTTAAAGTTCTTAAGGTTTCCTATTAGAATTCAGATATGAAAGTGATCTATAGATCCTTTTGTTTGATCATTCTTGTCCTTGCTTCTGCCTCAAGCAAGCTATAGGTCAGTGGTGGCGAACCTATGGCACGGGTGCCAGAGGCGGCACGCAGAGCCCTCTTTGTGGGCACGCATGCTGTCACCCCAGTCCTAGGCCTTCAGCTGGGTTTTATAAAACCTTTTTGCTTTAGGCCTCCGCCGCCGTGTAAAAAAAAAAAAGGTTCAATCAATCAGTCAATTTCAACTTCTTCAGGAAAAAAAAAGATCTTGCAAAGTTGGAATTGATTGATTGAATTTTTTAGTCCCAGTCTGCCGTTACCACCGCAGACACACCCAGCCAATGGGCCACACCCACCTGGCACCCGACGATGCATAAGTGGGTTTTGGGTTGCAGTTTGGGCACTCGGTCTCTAAAAGGTTTGCCATCACTGCTATAGGTTGTCCTCGGTATACAACTATTTGTTGAGCAACAATTCAAAGTTATAACAGCACTGAAAAAAGTGACTTACAACTGCTCCTCACACTTATGACAGCATTCCCATGCTCACATGATCAAAATTTGGATGCTTGGCAACCAGGATGTATTTATGACACTTGCAGCATCCCAAGGTCATGTGATCACCATTTGTGACCTTCTCAGACAGCTTCAAACAAGCAAAGTCAATAGGGGAAGCCAGATTTGCTTAACAATCACATGATTCACTTAAGAACTGCAGTGATTGTCTTAAGAACTGTGGCAAAAAGATCATAAAATAGAGTGTGACTCAGATAACAATCACCTTGCTTAGCAAAGGAAATTCTGGTCCCAGTTATGCTTGTAAGTTGACTACTACACAGCTTCTTCATGACCTGTTTTCCTTGTTACCTTCTGGGAGGAGGCTTCATGGTATCCTAAGCAAAACATCCAGATTCAGTCACAATTTTGTTCCATACACTATCAATCTTGTGAACTCTAAAGCTTCCTCTTTCCACTATGTATTCAAGTTGGACAGCGATTAATATTTATGTTATTTATATGTAAGGGTGAAGGTCTATACGTATGTTGTATATAGCATGTTTAAATGTGTGTTATGTATGTGTACACTTGAGAGCAAGCAACAAAATTTCATTTTTAATGTGTGCCAGTGTGCACTCAGTAAAAAAAATGACAAAGGTTATCTATCTATCTATCTATCTATCTATCTATCTATCTATCTATCTATCTATCTATCTATCTATCTATCTATCTATCTATCATCTATCTATCATCTATCTATCCAGTGTTTGATGGATTATATAGCTTCCTGTGGTTTATCTAGAACAGGAGTCCCCAACCCCCGGTCCATGGACCAGTACCAGGTCATGGCATGCCAGCAACTGGTCCATACAAAGCCCCATCTGCGAGATGCAGGCAGCACATAAAACCCCACACCCTCTGGTCCACGGAAAAGCCTCTCTCCACAGAACCGGTCCCTGGTTGGGGACCTCTCATCTAGATCACATTCTAGCTATTTAGACTATATACCAGCTGCCCCTGACCATAAATAATCCACAACACTGTAACTTCTGTTCCTATGCTTAGATCTCACTTGAGTCTCTTTCGTCTTCTACTCTCCCAGCCTGTTATTCTTTCTTGGGTCTCATTCCTTCCTGGCTCCTCCCTCCTCCATTTGGTGGAGACCTAAATGCCAAGAGTGTTCTTTTTTTTATTCCTAGGAATTTCTAATATTGATGCATTTAGCTTTATAAAGAAATCATCAGCAATGCCTCAGATGTTATTTCTTCTCTGCTGCAAATGGACCTCTGGTGACGTTTTGTAAGCAGGGTTTATTTTTCAAGAAGGCCCTTGCTCTCTGGAGCTTTTGCTCCTTAGACAGAAATATCTGTGGTCCTGCTCTGCTGTGGCCAAACTCCAGATGGGACACCAAAGTGTCTCTCCAGAGTTTTCTAGGATCTCACGTGTTTCCAATATTGGACAATCATCATCATCATCCATCATCATTATCTATCATCTATCACTTATCATCTGTTTAGTCAACAGCTTCTAGAGTTTTCTGAACAAGAGAGCAGCATTCTCTTCTTCCTTTCAGAATCCATTTTGTTTGTTTGTTTTAAAACAACTCTCCTAGTGCTATTTCAAAGCTGTAGTTCCTGTGCTGCATTATTATTATGGCTGATTGCACAGTTTAGACTGGATTTGGCATTTTTGTCCAGCTATCGAGTTTTTCCCGTGACCTGGGGTAGGCAGATATTGATGTTGTTCCATGCAAAGTTGCCTTTTGCAATGGACTGGTTGTTAGAAAGAGTGCAGAGAAGAGCAACAAAGATGATTAGGGGACTGGAGGCTAAAGCATATAAGGAAAGGCTGCTGGAATTGGGTATGTCTAGTTTAATGAAGAGAAGGACGAGGGGGGACATGATAGCAGTGTTCCAATATCTCAGGGGTTGCCATAAAGAAGAGGGAGTCAAGCTATTTTCCAAAGCACCTGGAGGCA